CTCCTCCCTCCTCCTCCTCCCCGCTCGCAGGAGCTGCCGCAGCTTCTCGCCGCGGCGCGGGACGCGGCGGCGCAGGCCGCCGCCGCCGCCCGGGGCGCGGGCGGCGAAGAGCGGCGCAGGGCGGCTCTGTGCCTGGCCCCCGGAGACCCAACGCACCGACAATGCACAAATCAGGCGATCGCAAACATGGATCCCAGACCCCCTCGAGTCATGAAAACATCACGACGGGAGGTTTTTCGCTATTTTCGGCCTCTGGGGGCCCTTACCGGGCCTCGGGACCATCAAGAAACGACTCGGGATGAAAAACAGTTCCCGGGGAATGAGTCCGGACCTCTGGGGGTCGCGTAATGGAAATATCATGACGTCGGGGGTCTGGGATCAATTGGGCGTGGATTCGCGGCGGGTCCCGTTTCCAAGTGAAGCCGCGGATTTCCGCCGCCGAACGAGGCGGCACCGGCTGCATTCTGGGGAGGGGACCTCCCCCGATCCATGGATTTGTCGACCGCGCGCCGAATCCACGGATCTCTATAATCCAGGTCTGCGCGCCCCGGAACAAAGGAGGTGTTTTGTTCACGCTTTCGGCGAATCTGGAGGCCCCCGCCGGGCCCCCGGGGCCGTGCGCAAAGGACTCAGGACGACAGGCCGGTCCCTGGGAGCGGGTCGAGACTGCCCGGGGCCCCGTGCTGGAAGAGTGACGACGTCGGACCTCCAGGCCACGTTCGCGTTCCAGGAGGGCGTGGTGTCGAGGCTGCCTCCGGACAGCGTCCTCGGGCGCCGCTGCGGGTGCCCTCTGGCCCCAGTCGGTCGGCTGCGCGTGAGCGTATATCAGGAGGGAAAGAAACACACAGACACAATTAATTGCCGATTCCCCAGAAAATATGGGAAAATATGGGAAGTGGGGGGGAAGACAGAAACCCAGAAAATATGGGAAAATATGGGGGATATTTTTATTTGTGCGTATTTATTTCTGTGTCCTAATTTCCCTTTATTGGAGTTGGCCCCTCCGCGACTCCAGACCGCGGCGCGCCGAAGGTCACACTTGCGCGCGTCCGACTGACCCAGACCCCCGACTTCATGATTTTTTCATTCAATCGCTTCGCTCATGCCGCCGGCCCTGGAGCCCTCTTTGGGGCCTCTTGGGGGCCTCTTGGGGACCTCTTGGGAGTCTCTTGGGGCTCCTTGGCGGCGTTTTGGAGGCCCCCAGGGCCTCTTGGGGGGCTCTTGGGGGTAGTCGATTGCGGCTCCTCCCTCGGAGGCCACGATCCTCGTGAGGGGTGTCGAAAAATACCCTCCCCTGGAGTGGTCTGTACGCGACCTCCAGAGGTCCGGACCCATTCCCCGGGACCGCTTTTTTCATCCTGTGTCGTCTTTTGACGGACCCGAAGGCTGGCAAGGGCCCCCAGAGGCCGAAAGTAGGGAAAAACCTCCTGTCGTGGTTTTTGTCATGACTCGAGGGGTCTGGGATTCCCGCAGGAAGGTCCAGGTGGCCTCCGCACACGCACGTCCCGTCGTGGTTTCTCCCTACACCATGGCGGGAGAGGCGGGGGGACTCCGGAGTGGCCGGAGAAGCGGGGGACGCCCTGGGCCAATCCCACCTCCTTCCCCTCCTCCTCTTCCTTCCTCCTCCCTCCTCCATCCTTCTTCTCCCTCCTCCTCCTCCTCCTCCTCCTCCTCCTCCTCCTCCTCCTCCTCCTCCTCCTCCCTCAAGAACCACTCTGGCCCAAGCCTTTGCTGGATCCAGGGTGCCCCTGGGCTGGACCAGCGTTCCGCTGTGCTTTCTTGAGCGCCTCATCCGAGGCGAACGCAGGGGTGCTCGGTCACTGGGCGCTACGGGCTCCGCTCGTCCCGCTTGGTGGGTGAGCTCCTTTGCCGCGCGCCAGTCATGTCTGTGCTCCTTGCTTTCGCGCTCTTCCTGGTGGTCGACTCGAAGGTGATCGTTGAGCACAATGCATCGGCAGCGTTCGGCGAGGAGCGCCTCACCACTTCTCGTTCTCCGTCTTCATCTACGGCAGTCTTTGGTGTGCTGCGGTGTCAGCGCCTCGGTGTACGTTTTCCCCGCGTTCATGTGCCTACCCGTCTCGCTTCACCGCCCCCATCTTCGGCTCTCGTGGCTGGCCTTCTTGCTGTGCTTCTTCGGCTTCGGGCAGGGCGTGGTGCTGGACAGCGTCGCCTTCCCTGCCCCGCTTTCGCTTCCTGGGGTCGTGATGGTGGATCTGCCGCCGGGCCTGCTGGGCGCGTCAGACGCTTCAGAGCTGAAGTGCCTCCTCAAGAGCAAGGTGACGGACAAGATCGTGACCGCCGTCGGCGTCGCGACGGTGACGATCAACAACAAGGCGCCCATCGTGAGCTCCGCGACTTGGGCGTACTGCTGCCTGTACATCGTATTCATGTTGTTGTGCCTCAGCGGGTGGCCGCCTGGCACTCTTTTCCATGCGATGCAGGTGGCGCGACAGTTCAGGCAGTATGCAATGCAATGCAGTCGGCCGCCATATTTACCCTGCTTTGCTCGACACGGCTGTTGGAATGTTCCCATTTTTTCCCTCCGCCGCCTGGCGACATCGGCGAGGCTCTTGGTCCGCCCGACAGGCTAAGGTTGGACCATGGCGTTGTCGTTCCTGCTGGGTCGCGTCTCTGTCTTTGGATCGGCTACCCTGAGCAGCCAATCGTGAGGCCAGGCGTACTTGAGTTTAGGCGTGCTACCGCGGCTGGCGTTGCTTCTTATTCAGGCGCCAATATTAAGCCGGGACCTGCGACTCCTCGCCCTCCCCCAGTTTGGCTCGGAGCGCGGCCTGAGTCCAGTAGGGAAATAGGTGCTCGAGATCGCAGCAGGTCTCGCGCCCACAGTTGCCACGCCAGGCCAGTCTCTTCGCCGAGTAGCTCGCCCCCTTCCAGCGGAGGCTCGGCCCCCCGCAGCGCCGGCGGCTCACTGTCGCCCAGGGAGGAGCCCAGTAGTTTCGTGAAGTCCGCCAAGGAAGAGCTGCGCCGCGCTCAAGAAGCTTTCGAGGGGGTGAAGCGCCGTCGAGTCGCTTCTTCACCGTCTCCTCGGCTTGGTAAGCAAGAATCAGTGGCCCGTCCTCCTGCTGGCCCGCCGCCAACGTGCCTGGTTGGGGCCCACCGCGCCAAGGAGCGCAGCAGTGCTCCGCAGGCCAAGTCCCACGCAAGGGGAGCCGCGTGTTCGGTGGGCCACTCACTAATCCTTTAACAGAAGGCGAATTGGAGGTTGGTCTGTGAGTGGTGCAACAAACGTCTCCCGCGCGGCTCGATCACTTTCTGGTGTAAGACGTGTGAGTGCACGGTTTGCGGCGACTGCCGCTCACCGCCTACGCCTTTGAAGAAGTGTCTGCTTCAGCGCAGGAGAGGGGCTCAGCAGCTAGCGGCTCTGCTCCGTCGCAACGCTCGGCCGCCCCCGCTGCCAAACGCAGGCCCGCCTCGGCACGTGCCACGGAGCAGGTCCCAAAGAGGCTGTTGATGTCCAACTATGATGATGTGCACCCCCCAGCGCGCACGAACTGCAATGGCAGAGCTTGGCCAGGATTGCATTCGAAATCCGGCAAGTACCACTGTGCCGCTCCTTCGTGCCGTAACTTCATGCCCGAAGGATGGATGCCGTCCTGCTTCAGGTGCCAGAAGAGCACATGTGACGGCCAGTGGCGGGGTCTTGCCTCGCTCAATGCGGGCAAGGGCTTCGTGTGCAGATTTTGTTGGCTCGAGGAATGCACGGAGGCAGACCTGCCCAAGTGGCAGCGCTGGTTCACGCGCCGGCAGAACATGCACGGTCGTGCTTTTCCCCCCAACCCCTCCGAGTGGAGGCTACAAGTTTGCCCCGCCGCACTTTAAGGCCTGGCGCGGCTCGGCGCTCCACCCTTTTGGGGCGCGTGCCCTCCTGGATATTCTAGGCCTGCCGCGCTTGCGGCGCGGGTCTCTTTTTCTGTTCAGATCCCGCCGGTGCTTGGCACTTTCGGGGGGCTCCTGTCTTTTCTGGAATATTCGCGGGCGCGGTCTGGCTGCGCGTGTCGGTGCCCCTCCCCGTGGTGGTTCCTCGGGGTTCGGTGGACTTTTTGTCGTTGGCTTGTTTGGTCTTTGGCCTTTCACTGCTGCGCGATCGCGCGGCGCGTTCAGGCTTGAGTCCGGGTACTTTGCACGGAACGTTGCGTGGCCACGGGGGCATGGCCCTGACTGTGGTCTTGGAGCCTTGCGTGTCACAACGGCTGCTGTGTTTTTCTTTGGAACACGGGGCGTGGGCGCGGGCCTCGCCCATCACAGCCCGCTTTACTTGCCCATCACGGGGCTCGTTGGCTGCGAATGTCCAAAGTTGGCAGGTCCCGCGCTGCCAGTTGCTAGCGCTATGCGGTGGGCCCGTGGAGGTAAAAAAGAAACTGCGCCTCCTCCCTGCCCCTTCTCCTCCTTCTCCTCCTCCTCTTCCTCCTCCTCCTCCTTCCGTAGCCGTTTTGTCTCAAGGTGTTTGCAAGAGGGGGCTTCCGCGCCTCCGTGTCAACGTGGGATAGCTCTGTTTCCCGAGCCAATTCAGGATTTCTCCCCGTGCTGAAATGTTCTCCTCAGCGCGCGCCCTCACTGCGCATCTCCGCGTCATGGGTCGCGCGCAGCCTTTCTTGTGGCGCAAGCAGTGTGGCAATTGGGCGTTCAACTTCCGCATCATCGCCAATGGCGGCAAGTGCGCGAAGTGCAACAACATCGTCGACCTCTTCAAGCGCAGCGGCCCGTCGTCCTCCCCCAAGAAGCCGCCCTGGGCCAAGGGCTCGCCGCCGCCCGAGGACCCCGCCGTCCTGCTCCAGAAGCTCGCCTCTATCCCTGCCCTCGCGTGGGCCCACCGGGCACTCGTGGACCTCGAGACCACGCGCGCCGCGCCCCTGGTCAAGCAGCGGGCCCCGCAGCAGGAGGCCAACTACACAGCGCAGAATCTTCAGAAGAAAGAGGCCGCCCTACGCAGGGCAGCAGATGGCCAGGTCGCAGCAGAGGCGGTCCTCGAGAGAGCCGAGGACAACGCGCTGGCGGCCACCGAGGAGGCCGTCGCGGCCCGCGAGGCCAACGACAAGGCCATCGAGGCCCTGTCCATCTCCGTCGGCAAGGCACCGGCGCAGCCAGCCCCACCTGAGGGCTACGCCGCCGACGGCAATAATATTCTGCTCGCAATCAAGGAGGCCGACTTCACCGACAACCTCGACGAGTTCTACGAGAGCCAGCAGGAGACGCTCCGTAGCCTCAAGAAGGAGATGGACGCGCACGTCGCCCAGGTCCACGCGCTGCAGGAGACCCTGGCCAACGCCCTCAAGACGGTCCAGGAGATCCGCGCTGCCCCAGCCGAGCGGCTGCGCGGCGCCGACGGCGTCGGCCGCCAGGGCCCGGGCGCGGAGCAGGCTGGCCGCGACGCGGCCCCAGCGGCAAGCGCCCCAGCGGCTGCGCCCGCGGCTGGCAGCGCCGCAGCCCCCTCGGCCGACCCTGCCGAGGCCGCCAGGGCCCGCGAGACAGCCAAGGCCCAGCTGGTCGAGGCGCTCGCGGCGGCCAAGGAGCGTGCTGCGCAGCGTGCCTCTGGTGCCGAGGATGCGGCGGCTCCTGCTAGCGGCCGCGGGCGCAGCAGCAGCGGCAGGGCCGCCGCAGCAGGCAAAGGCACTGGCGGCAGAGGCGGACGCGGAGCGGGCTCTTGGCCAGGACGCCCGCTTCTTTTTCGCCAACATCTCCGAGCGGGGCCCGCGCTCGGAGAGTATCATGAGGGCCCAATCAGAGCAGTATGATATGATTGGCTTTGCTGAGACTCACTTTC